CCATTGGACTCCACGATCTGAATTCCAATTTTGAAAAGAGTATGTTTCAGGATAGAAGTGTACTTGGAAATGATTCATGGGGCAATTATTTTTGTACTGGAATGGATTCTCCCTAGACTTTATTGTAATAACATAACGTGTTTTGGGTTGATGAGGGGGATTTAGCTGGAAGGTATCAAATGCATCATTCACTTCATTTACTCAGCCATCTGCACATCCGTTCAAAGCGCTGAGCATGTGCTATGCACTGCACTGGATCTGGGAGACACAGAAAAGTATGGCACCCTTCCTGCCTTCAAGAAGCTGGGGGCTTAATCAAATTACAGCATAAAATGAAAACATAAAAATAAAAAGTTAAGGGATTGAGAAGCATAGGATGGAAATATTAAAGCATTCAACTGAATATCGGTGACACGTTTTCTTTACCTTTGCGATAGGACTAAATAGGTAAAATATGCAGACACAAACACTGACTTCAATTCTTACCATCGCCTTGCAGGTTATTCCCAGTTCATAAGGAAACCGACTCAGCTAAATAATAGATGCGTTTGTTAAGTGCTTACCACGTACCAAGCACTATTCTAAAGCTTTTCGTGCATTCTGCATTTTGGTTATCACATCATCACCCCCACAAGGACGGTACTGTCATATTTTGCATTTCACAGCTGAGGGAGCTGAAGCACAGATCGGTTAAGTGAGGAATTCCAGTAAAGAATAAAAGATGGAAAGATCCACCGGCCTCCCGAAGTCAGAACTGGTCCCATCGCGTCCTGCAACCTTCCTTACACTTCATTTCACTCCCCTTGGTTCCCAAGGCAGCTGGCAATAGATCTCTATCCACCCATCCCTCCATCCATCCAACCCCTGCTACCCAGTCCCTGACATGTACAAGGCTCAGAGGATGCCGTCATGGTCTCTGACCTCCAGGTACCCACAGGGCAGTTGGAGATATAAAAAGGCACTGAATAAATGAGTAAGTGAATGAATGAATGAATGCCAAATGTTCATTTTATATTCACATGAGATGTCTTCTGGCCTGGACACATTTGTACCCCTGGTGTTTTCTACATGCCAGAATTCACATTTCTCAGTGCATTTCCAAACTTTTAGCTATTTTTATTGTCATGTATAAAATATCTGGGACCTAATTTCCACCATCTGCACATTTATTGAACGTGTTCAATGTTCCATCATTGCCTCATAATAACTGAATATACAAGAAAATTCACCCAATCCAGTAAGTCGCTTTGCTGATGATTTATTGCTTTAAGGCGAAAAGCTATAAACAGGGAATTTGAGCAATGAAAACCCTTCACATTAAATAAATTTGTGTAGTTCCATGCTACACAAATCATGAGAAAAATGAGGACTGTTGTAAAACATGACAGATTGCCCAAGTGCTATTTTTCCTCTATTGGGAAATTCCAAGACATTTCTTCATATGTATTTTTTAGTCACCAAAATGGCAGTAGGAATACTTAAATATTAAGTCATAATCTGAAAACAGATACACACACACACACACATATATACACATACATACAACACATATGTATATGTGCAGAAATACACAGCTGGCCATTCTGACCATTCATGATTCCCAGCTGTGCAGGGTTATCATTGCAGTTACTTTGGATCAAGGTAAGTCTTTAAAAATCAGTGACCTAATTCAGTATAATAGTCACAGGCCACATTACCTCCCCACAATCTCTAGGTATACACAGTACTTACAATGTCAGTGAGAGTCTAGACAATCATATCACTTGAATCTACCTTCTTTGATCACTCTCTGAATCACTTTCAAAGTTAAAATTGCAGCTATTGTCAGTAAAGCACGTCTTGTGCCTTTTGATTCGGGCGTCAGACTAACCTTGGTTTGCAATCCTGGTCTCTAGTTCATTAGCTGGTAAGACATTGAGCAAATAACTTAACCTCTAATAGCCTCAGCTATCTTATTTCTAAAATGGGTAAATGATAATAATGCCGTATCTCATAGGTTTGCTCTGAGGATTAAATAAGACACTGCAGTAAAGCACCCAGTATAAGGCCTGGTAAGTGCTCAACAGAAGCTAATGATGAGGTTTAGCAAAAGCATCGGTGGTTCAGTAAATTCAGGTCTCCTCTTTCCCCTACACACCTACACACACACACAAGAGATGTTCACTCCAAGCACCTACATAAATTTCTTCACCAAAAGTTGACAAATCTTTAGCATACCTTTCCCTTCCCCCAGAACATGGGGTCACAAGGGACTAGAGTGGCAAGCTTCCTGCTTTATTTGAGCCCCCCGCCAACGTGACACTCCGATAGGGCTCATTCAGGCTCTCCCCGGAGGCCTCCCCAAGAGCAAAGAAGAGTGGAATAAGCTGGGATTTGGGCTGCTACTTTGGGGGGCAGATCTCCCAGCCTCTTTGAGTCCCAGACTTTCCATTTATAAAACAGGCAAGAGATGCTTACTCAAAATCGCTGTGATGATTAGTACTATAATTCAAAACTTAAGAGTGCTTGGTACCAAGCAAGCACTCTAAATAGAGGGACAGCTTTTCGTTATGATTATTAGTCTTAACTTTTACTGACTCAGGGCACACCATGGCTGGGCCCATAGCTCCTTCCCCATGACTTCAAAACATGGGGCTGAGACGTTCCCTCTGGGGCCTGCATAGGACAGATCCATTTCTCAAACCGGAGCATTCCGGCCACGCCACCCCACCCATTCCTAGGATAAAACCCCCAATTCCACCACCCAGGCTTCCTATGACCTTGGAAGCCATGCTCACTTTCCCAAACTGGGAAGCAAATTCAGTAAGAACCTAGCTCTCGGGTGTCTGCTGAATTTCAAATGGGGTCAGCGTTCATCTAGTCCTCGTAGTTTGTAGGTGGCAGGTGATTTCACTTTACGAAAATCCAACATGTTCCATGTAGACTCAGAGAAGAGATTACTCATGGGGTAAATTCTCTTCACACAGGAATTCTTTTGTTTTGTTTTTTTTCCCAATAAAAATGTGCACTTCTTTCAATAGTAAATGTCTTTCTATGGCATTTAAGACTTGGCTGATAAAACTCAGACTGTCATGTACCTTTGGAAGAAAGAGATCTTCTGAATACAAGTAGGAACATGTACACAATTTCCTTTATTCATCAGATACACATTGAGCACCACTGTATGCCTTGCGTCGGGCATTCCGGAGGTCACCGTTAAGGAGGGCACATTCTCAACCCTTCATCCCTGTCTAGGAATCCCACCCAGAATTCGCCACCCAGAATCCCTTCATGAATAACCGCACCATCACTCAGTCTGCAGCACTGCGTAACAAAATCATCTTCAAACACATATGAGAGCTGGTTCAGATCTGAAGGAGGGAACGATCTGTAGGGTGTTCATGGATTTTGGTTTAGCCCAGATTTTGTCTGACGCTTAGGCACGTAAATAATCTGAAAGTCAGACACTCTCTTCTCTTGTGAAAAGAGCTAGAGAGACGACAATGAGAAGCAAAAATGATGCAAGAATCGCCTGTCCTGACGTGTTTTCCTGCTCTGACACATTTGGAAGCTCTAAAAGTGGAGGGAAAAGATGGGTTACACAGTCAGTTCAACTGGATTTGCATTCCAACTCCTCCACTGGCCATCTGGGTGACTTCAGTCAAGCTCCCTTCCCTTTCTGAGCTTCTGTTTCACATTTGTAAGAACAAAAATAACAACGGGCACTTTTCAACACGACCTCGAAGTTTCCATGAGCTAGTGTTAACGGTTACGTAAAGTACTGAGAACAATGTGTGACACATAGAAGTTACTATATAAAAGAATTATAACAGTAAATATCTATATTTTACTAATAAAATAAATAATAGCCTCATTTCCATTAATAGCAACTTTCTCTTCCTTTTGTTGAATAGCTTCAAGCCCTTTCAGCTTTTCATCCCTGTTAAATATACTTCTGTTTTGAAACAACTGGTTAACCTCTGTCTTTGCACCAGAACTGGGTTTTATGGGTCAGCAGACCCACAGTCTGTGAAATGGGTCACTGAGGCAGAAAGAGACATGTCCTGGGCCCAGGGACCCTTGCCACCCTAGGCTGGTGCAGACTGGACCCACTTCTTGGTTTCTGAAACCACTTCTTGGTTTGACCCACACTCAACCTGGACCCAAGGCTCCCTAAGAGCACAGGAATGTCACAGGTTACCATTCTCCGGGGTCAGAGACATCAGCCCAGGGGACTCCACCAACTCCCATGAGCCCCCGTGCAGGGAGAGGATCCAGAAGTGAGGAGCCTGGCTGATTGCCCAGCGCCCTGCCCTGTCCACGAGCAGCAGATTCAGTGCTGGGGTCAATCGCTCCTTCTGACAATTGGCGGACCTTGCTCTGACCCTGGAGTATTGACTGGGGACTTCTCCCAGGAACAAGAAGGAAGTTTATCATCTTGCATTTCTGACTGGGATGAACCCAATGTACACGCTTCACAGTGCAGGGGTGAAGAGAAACCTAACCTCAACAATGCCCGGAATAATGGATACGATTGTTCATTAAAAAAACCAAACCCAAACAGCAATTCACCTCACTTGGCAAATGTTGGGTGACCTTGGGAGGCACAAATCTTTGGAACGAGAGATACTTTGGTGTGCGGTGGTCAAAACTGTCGATCAGAGTTGTTCTAAATCCCATCTATCCTTCTGAATGGACCCAGAGAGTCTTACGATTTGGTATTTAAAGAAGGAATTAGTGACATTGAATGCCTAGCTGATTCTGTTCATTGAGACTTGGGCAAGATCCAGCAAGACGTCCAGTGACTTGGACAGGCCGGATCAGGCTTGGGTATTGACCAGAACAGCTGGCACTTTCCTTGGAGTGTACGTGGAATTGTCAAGGAGAGGACCCATTGTCTGGGCTTGAGCGGCACCACAATGGGTGCTTTGGGTGGTCGGAGACAGGAAAGGGGGCCACGGGTCCAGATCAGGGTAAGGTGGACAAAAGCAGGCTCAGTGTGGGCCTCAGAAGGCTGCCTGCTTTACAAGCATGGGGCCAGGCCTCGAGCTCGTGTTTTGTGCCTGCCTAATTGGCAATTTCTGAGAAGTCAGGGTAGGAATCCAAGTCGGCAAAAATATCGTTGGGATTCCGACAGCTCAGATTGCAGAAGCAAGCATTAATCCACAGGGCCTGGCGGGAGAAGCCAGGCCCGTCGGGACACTGGAAGGAGATGTCGATGGTTTTGGACTTGTAGGGGATGCAGCACCTGTTGTCCGTGCAGACCCCACAGTACTTGGGCCGGTACGGACGCGTGCTGGTGCAGCCGGCCAGCGTAAAGTTCACGGGCGCTTCTGGCTGGTACACGGCCAGACACTTCTTCCCTTCCTGCAGGAAAGGAGGTTTCAGCTGAGATGCTCAGGGCATCAACGGCCACTTTCCTCCCTCCAAGCCCTCAATTCTTCCCTTTTCACTCTCCACGCGCTCCGCCTCACTTTCAGATTTGCGGCATCTTCCAACTGGGAAGGACCACCCCAAATACAGCAAAGACCCCGTCATATTACGCAGGAGGAAACGAGAGCACAGGAGGGGGCTGCCTTGCGGTGGTGGTACCTGTCAACCTGCAATTTCCTTTCTCTCCTGTGTTCCTGCCTGGCCAATGCCCAGTCCCTGGTCAGTTTCACTAACACGGGATGCCTTTGCGGCCGCTTTAGCCAATCAAGTGTCCCTCGCTGGTTAGGGGCAGAACCATCACGGCCTCCCCGATTGGGGGATGCATTTTACCCTAAACCCTCCTCCTCCTCTGCCTCTGACAGACTCCCGCACACACCCTTTCCATGCAATTTATTTATTCACAATCCATGCAACTGGATTGCCATTATCTAAAGGGAGCTCTGTCTCTCCACAGGGCTGTGGGCCACTCGAGAGTGGGGCTCTTTCTGTGTCCCTGCAGTCTAATTCTGTGCCTGGTGCATAGTAGGCACTTACTAAACTCACTGACTGAATGGTTGTCGGGGTCTACTATGTACCGGCACCATGCCAGAAACGGGGGTAGAGCAGATCCAGGCGATGTGGGGTGGGTCTGAGGCTTGTATGATTGATCTGAGAGCTCTCTTGGGCACATAATTATGGAAATGAACTTGGGTGGAAAGCATGGGACGTGAATTCGTTTGGTGGTAAGCCCACCCCTACCTCGCATGCACCGTGCATTCACCCAGCTTAGGACTCTCTGTCCTGTTGCTGGTAAATTTCCCTTCCATGCTTTCAGTTAAGAGATGTTTGCTGAGTACCAAGCACCAAGAATACAAAGGCTAGTAGGGCAGGGGAGATTAATCAGAGAGGGAAAAGAGACAAGGGGAGGAACTGTGGGAAGCTAGGCTGCCTTGTCTGCTGGACAACCCTCTCCTCAGCACCCCCAAGAAACCACCAATGCTCCCCAAGTGGAATCAGTGCTGAGTTTTTCTTTCTCTTTATTTTTCACATGACACCAAGGCAGATGACCGGTCCTAAGGCGTTAGCAAGGAGGTCCTGGGTTAAGCAAATCAGATCCGTTTCTAACTCCAAGGACTGGGTCTTAGTCTCCTGTGGTCACCTCACCCTTGATCCTTTATTTTAATTGTCTTTGACTCTCAAAGCTGGAAAGGATGTCCGAGATCAATTCTGGTGTTTTACCAATGAGGGGACTGGGGCTCAGAGATGCAAGGAGATTGGCCATGGTCACACAGAGTTAGCAGCAGATGGGCATTTGACTCCAGCAGTCCTGAGTCCCGTTGTCCCCTACCGCCCCGTGTGGCTGTCACGTGAGTGGGGGCTGGCCCAGGAGCAGTCGGTGAGGGGTCCTTGGAATCACCACAGGAGAGCACTTCTGAGGGACCCTGGGATCTCTCCAGAGTCACCTTGATTGTAATAACATGGTCACTACTCCCACTGAGTGAAATTCACAACCCACCAACCCAGTGACACATGTCATCCCAAGAAACTGCTACAACGTGGGCTTAATTATTATACGAACGGCCCCCCACAAGCAAGCTCAGGAGCCAGGCTCAAAGCCAGGCTTGTCTGTTACGCCCCGAGACACCTGCCCCACCCCTGGGAGGCGGACCCACCTTGACGTGTGGCCAGAGGTCCACGTCACACGGCCGCAGGTTGCAGAGGCGACTCTCCTGCTCAGGCCAGCACTGGGCATTGACGTTGGAGATGCGGGTGGAGACCCCCAGGCCGCAGCTGGCAGAGCAGGGGCTCCAGGGGCTGCTGTAGGCTATGCAGTTCCTGTGCCACGGCTCTATCTCATCCATGGCTGCTGCGGATGGGAACCAGATGCCCTGTGAGTTTCCAGTCTCTGTCAGCCCCCAATTCCTGTCGCCACCGCCCGAAGGGCTGGGGTCCCTGAACCTCAGGCAGGACAGAGGTGGGCTGTCCCTCAGCACAAGAGGGCAAGTTGGCTTCTAACCAGCACAGTTTCCCAGGGAGAGGAGGGCTGTTCTGAACTCCTTATACCTCTCCGGAGGGAGGACCATCTTTAGAGACAGGTGGACCTAAGTTCAATTCCTGCTTGACCACCTAGAGGCTGTGTGATTCTAGACAACTCACTGTGGGCCTCAGGCTCTTCACTAGAACAATAACATCTGCCTTGCAGGGCTAGTATGGCAATAAAAGGGTCCAGATATTGAGTGAGTACACATCAGGCATCTGCAAGGTGCTGGGAATAAAAGGTTAAAAGACACTGTTCCTGCCGCAGAGATTATGTTATGTGGGGAAGGTCAAAGGCAAGTGCCTGTACTGTAGTACTAGGATTTCATCTGGGCGACGCTGCGGGCATCGTGGTTAAGGGGACACACAGGTTTCAGAGGCAAATGGCCTGGGTTCAGCTCTGAGCACCACCACTTAGTAGCTGGATAGCTTCCAATAAACTAGCTCCCACCTCCGTGTCCCCACCTGTAAGAGGGGTTGACAGTAGCACCTCTCTCCCTCCTGTCCCAGGCTGGGGACAGAAAAGATGGGTTCAGACGCCTGACAGCGCTCGAGCTGTCCCTGGCCCTTAGTAAGCCCTCAGTAAATGTGAACTGAACCCCAACTCTTGGCTGGTTCTATCAACGCGTGTATCCTGGCATCCAGAACATGGAAAATGGAGCGAGCTAGAGATGGAGGCAGGTAAAAAGCCAGTAAGGCCAAGGAGACATCTCACAGAAAGATGGAACAAGGTACCCAAGAGAAGGACTGGAAGAGGAAGCCAGTCCAACCTGGCATACACATGCATGGCAACCAGAGAGAGGAACGGGCAGAGACAGCAGGTGTGCAGGGGAGACGGATGAATGACTGCAGGAATAAATGAGTAAGAGAAGAGGATGGACAAGACAGAAGAAAGGAAAAAGAGGCCGCTGAGGACAGAAGAGAGCAGGGTCCGGGCTGGGATGAGCTGGGGCTGCGAGCACAGATGGAGAGGGCAGTGGGGAGGGATTTGCTTGGAAGGATGAAAGGGCTTTGGTTTCTGGGTCAGCCACTCGGCAGGGGCTCTGCTTGTGCTCGGTCAGAACGGGGTCACTGGGCCACACACAATGACATGATGGGCAGACAGCCGCTGCCCTGCACCCTCACCCCGTGACCCTCCTGTGCTCTGCCCTGGGAGGCCTGCTGGGGACAGAACTTCCCCGGCCACCTCCTCCACGGGCAGGGGATTGCTGCTTCAGGGGGCTGCTCAGCCCCGGGTGGGGCACCCCAGGCCCCATCCAGAGAGGCTGTGCATCCCTGAACTGTAGGGGTGGCAGTACCACCCTCCTTCCTGGTCCAGTCAGACCCCTGGGGGCAGGCAGCCTGGGGACAGGTCTCTATTCTGGCCTTTACACTCCCCCCTCCCCTCCCCTCCCCTCTCCTGTCCAGTTTATTCTTCTCTGAAATCCTCCCTCACTTGGCTTCTGAAACCCTCTTTCTCCTGTATCCGTCCTGCCTCTTGGATTCGTCTTCCTCAGCTTCCTTCTCTCTCGCACCTTACATGGTGGTGTCGCAGGGCCACGTCAGTGGTCCTCCATCGAGGCAATTTTGCCCCCCAGGTCACAACTAGCAATGTCTGGAGGTATTTTTGGTTGTCGCTACTTGGCTGGAAGGTGCTACTGGCATCTAGTGGGTGGGGGCCAGGTGTAAACCTCCTCCTACAAAGCACAGGACTGTCCCCTCTATAAAGAATGATCCTGTCCAAAATGCTGTCCGAACTGAGGTCGAGAAACCCTGCTCTACGCAATCTCTCTGAGCACTTCTCTCTGAGCACAATCTCTCATGCACTTATAACTTTAAAAAAACAACAGGTACCCTCAGAACACCCAAACTCCATTGCCATTTCTTCAGTCCCTCATGTCCACTTGTCTGGTGGACACTTTCCTTCTAGAAGTGTCCTCATCTGCTGTCCTCCACGTCATCAGATGCTCCTGGTTTTCCCATTACTTGCTTGGCTCTCCTTCTCTGTCTCCCCCTCGGTGTCCTCTTCTGCCCTCCCTCAAACATCAGCCCCCCAGACCTCTGCCCCAGGACCCCCCAAGACATTACCCCTAGGCCCTCAGCAGCTCTGGGCCGGAGACTTCCAGAGCTCTCTCTCCGCCCCACCTCCCTCCTCCAGTGCTTTCCCTGCAGGATGCTCCTCTGGGTGATCTCATGGGCAGGGCACCCAGCCTCAGCCTCAGCCTGTCTCCAGCAAGGGGAGAAGGGCTCCCTGCATTCTGTCCTAGGTCATGACGAGCCCCGGGAGTCTCTGTTACCGCTCTCTCTCCTTCCCCCCACCCGTTGTATTGACGCCGAGCCCTTCAGTCTTACTTGCTCAATTCCTCTTGCATCTGTCCCTTCCTTGATACCTCTGCTCCCACTGCCCCAATTCAGGTCTCCTCGGCCCACATATCCATCCATGCATCCCTCCATCCATTCATCCATCCACATGACGAACATTGATTTGGTACCAGCCAAGTGTCTGGCATTGGCTAGGCTCATATAAGCTGTGGGTGAAACAAACAGGTCTGTCCCCGTCCTCTGTTTCCGGAGCTTCCTCTGGCCTGGCTTACCTGGCTGAAGTCTCACCTGTCCACCCATCCCCCAGAGTGAGCAGGAAGCCACCCACTCCCTCTCTGCCCTTCCACCTGCTGCTCAAGCCTCTCCTCCCGGGTACCCTCACACCGTTCCTTCCTCCGCCTCCACCCTTCCCCTCCTAAACTCCTTAGTAGGAGAATAAGGAGCCGCAGGTCTCTGCTTCCTTCTTTACAAAGCACTTCCTCCTTTTACGCATGGAGGATCCCATAAGACAGGTGGACAGCTGGTCTTATCTCCATTTTACCAGTGGAGAAATAGGGTCCCGGAGGAGATGCGACCTTCCCAAGGTCACACCGCTCCTGAGTGGTGGACTGGGGACTGGGGGCCGGGGGCTTCTGTCAATCACAGGTGGGCGGTCAGAGCTCCGGGAGGGTCCGCCTCCTCCCCTCCCCACCCCGCCCCCGCTCCGGACCCCAGGGCCCACCCTCCCCCGCCCCGCGCCCTGCGCCCCGCACCCCGTGCGCAGCACCCACCGAAGGCGCCCGTGTGGCGCGGCGCGGTCTTGCGTGGCCTCCTGGCGTCGTCGTCGCACACCCACTGCTCGCAGCAGCGCCCGGGCACGCTCACCCGCCGGGCGTGGCGGCACCAGACGCGCGGGGGGCGC